CGGGTGGCCGCGATGGTCCAGACGCAGAGTAGGTTGGCCGGGTACTGGGCGGGGTGGCCGGGGCTCTGAAGGATCTGCACCGTCTCGGTAGCCGCCAGGGTGGTCCGGCCGCACACAGCTGGAAACGCCGGCACGACCTCACACCGCTGACCGGAACAGCAGCCGCGCGCGTCACGACAAAGCCGACGGAGCAGGGCCGCGTGCGTGTTGTAGCCCACGGCGGGGGAGGGCAGCGGTCGTCGCTCCATGTCCGCATGGTTGGGTCCATCAGCCGTTGTCCCCGCCGCCGCCCACAGTAGCACCGCTGTCACAGTGTGCTGCCCGCCCCACATACAGCGCGAGTGACGTCAGCATGGGGGGTCAATGCAGGCCTCGTCACTCACAGTCGACGTTCGTGACGGTGGCTGTGAATCCGGAACGATGGATCTCCCTGTCTGAGTAGAAGCGCACGTACAGCCGGCTGGAGGAGGCAGTGATGGCCGGCGGCAGCTGTGTACCGCAGTAGCGGTCCACCAGCGGTGCCGCCGGACTCAGGCCGTCACGTACCTGGGAGCGGTGCGCAACTCAGCAACACTGAAGACCTAGTATGGCGACCGGTAGGTGGCGACACAGCGGGCGCAGCAAGAGCTAAAGCCAACCGCAGGGAATGGGAAATACGAACAAGTTGTCTCAGAATACCGACGACGTCCCGTGTGTTAGCCATGCAAGCAGCGCCTCCAAGGAGCTCGTGTACAATTGGGCTATTCATTGTCCTTGCAGTGGTACGGACGCCTGACCTCCAGGTAGTCATAGGGGCAGGCGGCCGAGCTGGAGCCGTTGACCTCGACGTTAAACGGCTGGTGGACGGTAAAGCGCAGCACGCGGCCCTCGTCGCCGCGCAGCAGCCAGCGACAGTCTAGGTCGTCCTCGTAGCCGCCGTCGCCGTCGGTGTCGGGCGAACGCAGCGTCTGCTGCCCCGAGCCGGAGACGGTCAGCTCGCCGCCGCAGCCCTGGTTCGGACCTGACGGCCGGTCAGGCGTGGTCAGAGGGTGAGGCGCTGGTCAGCTCGCCGCCGCAGCCCTGGTTCGGACCTGGCGGCCGGTCAGGCGTGGTCAGAGGGTGAGGCGCCGGTCAGAGATGGTCAGAGGGTGAGGCGCCGGTCAGAGATGGTCAGAGGGGAGGCGCCGGTCAGAGATGGTCAGAGGGGGAGGCACCGACACCTCGCCGCCGCAGCCCTGACTCGGACCTGACGGCCGGTCAGGGGTGGTCAGAGGGTGAGGCGCCGGCCAGCTCGCCGTCTGCATATGTCGGTTTGGCCGCCCACAGTTCTGTGGCCAGACGCATAGCACAGACTTGCAGTGCGTTTGTACAAAGTAATGTAAGCTCGTGGGTTTTTTGGTATCAGATAAATTCACCTTCAGATTGATAAATCGTAGTAGTCAGATCAAGTCAGGTCAATTTGCGATTGCGGAACTAAATGCTACGCTCAAGTCGTTAATACATCGGTGTGCATTCACGCTAAAGAACGATTCGATGCTCCGTGAAAGTCTAGCGTCGTACTGCACATCAACACAGACTAAAACAATACCTGCGATTGTTCGCTTGCCTAATTATTCAAGATGCACTGTGTATATAAAACGTATTCCACCTAGCTGTTCGTTTTTCAACTATAAACATTTGCCTGACATCTCTTCAAGAGTTCTGCGGGTGGTGCCATCTGGTGGCGTGGCACAGGCTGTCCGGAGTTCGGAGTTTTGCGGGTGGTGCCATCTGGTGGCGTGGCACAGAGCTGTCCGGAGTGCGGAGCCACCGCTGGCCAGCCAACATACCGACGGAGAACAGCACTGCCGCCTTGAAGCCTGTACGCTGCACGGAACTGTCTGACGAACTGGATTGTAGCCAGGTTTGAAGTGGTGACCTGGAAAAGGTACCGCAATGGGTGGAATGGGTTGTCGCAAGATGCACCGTGAAACGCGGGGCTCATCCGACGAACTAGGAACCTGGATATTTGACAGCCCGCAGTGCCTCCTTTCGAGCGTCGAGCAATGCGGTGGTCATGAAGCAACAGTCGCATGGGAATGCCGAATTTGAATGGTCATTAGCAAGAGGTGGCTATGTGAGCTTAAACGTTAAACGTGACAAGGTCTGACAGGCTCTTTCAACATGTCTGATGTTTCCCGTGATCGCACAAACATTTCGACCCTGTCCTTGAGTAATATTTCGTCCCCTTCGTCGGAGGGGAACTTTGAAACATCTGCACGAAGAGAAGGGCAAGACTTATACGCAGCAGTACCGATCTGAATAGGGGGGGGGGGGGGGCAGCCGCCCCCTTCCCCATGCTTTGGACACCTGAAACATTTACTCTACGTCCAACTCTGAGTCCAAGTCGGAGACATGCGCCGGCTCGGCTCTCACCGAGTGAGGCGGGCTCGTGGTCATGTTCCCGCAGAACTTGTCCACCTGCTCCTCCGGGTTGGTCCACCGGTCGTCAAAGACGCTCACCGAGTCATATGGACAACCGTGCCACCCTCTAGGTCCATGTAGACAAACCTGGTCGAAATACACGCATGTCATTTGTATAGCGCGGTAGCTGGGCTCACAAACCGGCGGCGCCAGGCACGCAGCGTAAACATTTGCCGATAAACGCATGCAAGTGGCGTGTTCACTGGTATTCGAGAGCAACTCGTTGACACATCTAAGTTGGGGGGTGGATAAGCAAATAACAACGCAAAGTCGGTCCCGACAGCGTGTTGTTAGCTCATTTACGCGAAGGGCAAGTGATACCAGTCAAAAAATAAAAGTGTTTTTGCAACTATCAGGAATCGTTCAGAGTTTCTTAACCATCTCTAATCTTTTAAAGCATGCGAGGCACACCGCAGTGAAACAGAGCATTTCAAAAGCATGCAGACAAAAACCACGGACAGATCTGGCCAGATCAGCGCAAGACGAGGAAGCGGCTTCAGTCACTCACCGCACGAGCACCACCTGCCCAGCTGGCGCCGTGACGGACCACGTACAGTTGGCGCTGCGGTGATACTCCGTCGGATGACTGGGTGACTGTATGATGCCTGGCTCAGTAATCTGACCACCACAGGCTGAAGCACGTCGTCCACATGAGTACCAGCAACCCGAAGATCTTCGCACAGCACATATATTTACTACTGACAGCATACTGACGCAACACACATGTGTACCCTGCTGGCGGCATACTGATGTAACATGGATGTGTACTCTGCTGACGGCATACTGACGTAGCACACACGTGTACCTTACTGACGGCATGCTGTCGTAACACAGACATGTACTCTGCTAACGACATACTAATGTAACACAGACGTGTACACTTCCGACGGCGTACTAACGTAACACAGACGTGCACTCTGCTGAAGGCATACTGACGTAACACAGACGTGCACTCTGCTGACGGCATACTGATGTGACACAGACGTGGACTCTGCTGAAGCATACTGACGTAACAGACGTGTACTCTGCGACGGCGTACTGACGTAACACAGTCGTGCATTCTGCTGAAGGCATACTGACGTAACATAGACATGTACTCGCTGACGGCATACTGATGTAACACAGACGTGTACTCTGCCGACGGCATACTGACATAACACAGCCGTGCACTCTGCTGCTGACGAAATACTGACGTAAAACAGGCGTGCACTCTGCCGACAGCATGCTGATGTAACACAGGCGTGTACTCGCTGACGGCATACTGATGTAACACAGATTGTACTCTGCTGACGGAATACTGACGTAACGAAGTCGTGCAATCTGCTGACGGCATACTGATGTAACACAAACGTGTACTCTGCCGACGGCATACTGACGTAACGCAGCCGTGTACTCTGCTGACGGCATACTGACGTAACACAGCCGTGTACTCTGCCGACGGCATACTGACCTGACACGGTGTACTGGGCGTGCCAGCCGGCGCCGACGATGGAGAAGTCGGGTGCGGAATCGCAGTGTGAGCGGGGCCGCGCACGCTGAGCCGGGCCGGCCGCCGGTCGCCGCACGCGCTCAGCCTCGCCGTGCCGGCCGTGCTGTTGCCCCTCGAACACGGTCAGGTTGTCCGTACCGACAAGCCGTCCTCGTCTGGAGAGACGGCATAGCGCGCGTCGGCCACCGCCGGGGCGGCGCGGCGTGAGCAGGGCAACAGAGGCACGCTTGGATGGCGGGGCGCGGACAGCCGGCCAACCGGCGTCACTCGCTTCGCTCGCTCCCTGGGTGCCGGTGTCGAGGGAGAGGCCTGGACGGCGGGATAGCGGGGCACACGGGCCACCAGCCAGCGCCGCTCGCTCGCTCGCTGGGGCGCCACCGAGGCATTAGGAATGCACAATCCGGAGAGAGGAATGAGAAAGGATTTGCTGTGACGGGTCGAAATACCTCCCCCCCCCCTCCCCCGCACGATTCCTGATCAGCAATGCACGGGACGTGACTTCGGCGCATGACATCATTGGCCTGTCCATAAAGTCAACAATGGCGTGAGTCACCTCACCTTCCAAGAAGAACGGACCGACAAAGTTCAGAGTCACGTAGTCCTGGGGCATTGTCAAGATGCGATACACGCAGTCTAAATTGTTCTTGTAGCCATCAGGATAGCCAGGCGAGCTGAATTCACCACTTTCACCCGTAAAGTCTTCTCCACAGATCGCGCTCCATTGGGCCTGTGGCAGAGATAGCGATGTGTGTCACATAGCGACCCTGCCAGAATTATGGCCCTAAATTATCATAACTGCGTGAACCAGTTTCGGTTTGCGCCAGGCTTCCAGCGATAACATGTCTGTTCTGAAGGAGGGCAGTGTGCCATCACCAGTTCACTAATCATTCGTTCAGATGAAAACCGTTTGTGAGAACGCGAAGTACCTTTGCCAAGATTTGCGATATTTATATAGACATTAGCGCACCGGTGCAATTAAACGAGCCTTGATTTTCACCGAGGGCTCTCTTAACGTTAACAATTAAAATGTGTGTTAATCCATTTGCTCAAAAGATGTGAAAGAGTCATGAATGCAGCCAACTGTTCAACTTACCTTAAAACCATTCCCATTGTGGTTGTTACTATTCGTCGTAAATCGTATTTCAGAATGTTTCGGGTGCTTGTTATCAGTGGAGGGAATTGCTTTCCGCAGAATCGTCCCAGCGATCTGTACTCTGCAGACACTTGCTCCAGACCTGCGAAACCGACTGGTCACGCTCTAGAAACAACAGCCAGGTCAGAGTCACACCAAAACGGCATTGGGCGTATTGTGCGCTGGACTCTGAAGCACAACTTTTGTACATCCTGGCTTGGTAGTGATGCAATGGAGCGTAAACAGTCGTCAAAGCCTCAGTTGATCAACGTTGTGGCCATACCTCATAACGCAAGGTGGTTTTCAACAACAGCGTGGACAGACAGCATGTGGTCAACCAAACGAAATATTTCAACGCTGAACTTGGACATCATCCTCCCCTCACTCACTCACTCACTCACTCACCTCACTCACTCACTCACTCACTCACTCACTCACTCGATTACTCACTCGCACTCGCTGGTCTCTGTGGGCCCATCTGTAAATTACGTGACGCTGGGGAGGGTGGAGGGGTGTGGGTGTCAGCTGGTTCACGGCAAGAAATAAATCAGGGACGGGAGAATTGCCATGAAACACAGTTTTGCAGACCAGCGAATGACATTAAATCAAAAAGGAGAAGACCCTTTCCCTCAAATTTAAGTCACCGAGTACCTTACGCGACTAGGTAGCTCCGGGAAAATGAGGATCCTGTGCTTTTTTTTAATGTTGAAGGCCTTACAGAGGTGACCTAGAACAAGGCCGTCTCTCTTATTGTCAGCAATGTCAATAAAGGAAAATGGAGACTCAAATAATGACAGATGAAGGTGCTGCCACCTGTAAATTATTCGCTTTTCAGACGCAGATTTACTGGCCAACTGAGATAGGTGGAACCCCACTAAGCAGCTTGTAACCTCCGCCCTCGTGCACAGTCTCTGGCTTCTATGTGATCGCGCCGTCCCTGGAAACGATTCCATGCTTGCTATTGGGGGGGGGGGGGGGGGGGGGGAGAGAGAGGCATGGCTTGGCCTTACTCATTTTTAGAAGGGTTCAATGCCGGATTTGGCAAAACTTGAGATGGAAGGCAGGAATAAAAGTCTACCAACACTTGCTTCACCTAAGTTATGGACTGACTATGCATCGCCATGCAATTTTTGATCAGCCCAGTCCACGACTGACCTGCACGAAGTCATTCTGGCATCCCTCGCTGGTCTCCAGGTCGAACTTCTGGACGAAGCGGAGCTGGAGTCGGTAGCCCGGCTGCGCGCGCACCTCCCACTCGCACTCAATGGAGGCTGCGTAGTCAGCCGGGAACTCGGGAGACTCCACAGCGCCCTCCATTGTGTGGTACACGCCTCCGCACCCTGTGGTCGCCGGCACAGTTAGCTCACTAGATGGCGCCACCGAGGCCGCTGCGGCCCCACAACAGACCGGTGTTCTGCCGCAGCCGTCCTGGGTCGGGGGGCCGAGGGCGTGGCGAATCACTTGCGTGCCACATGCACTGTGGACTCCAGCCCTGCAGCTGCAGGGCGAGGTGAACACTGGTGGCCAGTCCCTGTGGGCGGGGCTCTGTCAGGATCACGACCCCGTCGCCAATGGGCGTGGGTATGTCAAGGGTCACATTTCCCCTCACCTGTGGGCGGGCTCTGACAGGGTCACGACCTCCCCCCCCCCCCCTCCCCCCCCCCCTCACCTGTGGGCGGGCTCTGACGGTTCACGAACCCCTCTGATCTGTGGGCGGGCTCTAAAAGGGTCACGACCTCCCCCCGCCTATGGGCGTGGGTATGTCAGGTTATACGATTCCCCCTCGACCTGTGGGCGGGCTCTGTCAGGGCCACGACTACCCTCCCCTGTGGGCGGGCTCTGACAGGGTACGATTACCCTCACCTGTGGGCGGGCTCTGACAGGGTCACAACTACCCTCACCTGTGGGAGGGCTCCGTCAGGGCTACGATTACCCTCACCTGTGGGCGGGTTCTGACAGGGTCACAACTACACTCACCTGTGGGAGGGCTTCCGTCAGGGTCACAACTCGCCTCACCTGTGGGCGGGCTCTGACAGGGTTACGATTACCCTCACCTGTGGGCGGGCTCTGACATGGTCACAACTACCCTCACCTGTGGGAGGGCTCCGTCAGGGCTACGATTACCCTCAGCTGTGGGCGGGCTCTGACAGGGTCACAACTACCCTTCACCTGTGGGAGGGCCTCCGTCAGGGTCCGACTCTCCTCACCTGTGGGTCGGGCTTTGTCAGGGTCACGACTCTCCATACCTGTGGGCGCGCTCTGACAGGGTCACGACTGCCTCGGCCGGCCCATCCCCGTCTCACCAACCTGTCCCTAACAGAACTCGCCGACCTGTTCTCAGCTCTAACTGGCCTTCCGTCGCGACGGACCCCAGCCCGTGATTTGATCCCGCCTGCCTTCGCCCCGGACCCCAGCCACCCGCCCTGACCTGACTCGGTCTCGGCCTGGAAGCCGCGGTGCGGGCCGGAGCTGTCGCTGTGGAACACCACCAGCAGCCGGCTGGACTGGCCGTGCAGCGCCACCGCCGCCCGTGGAGGAACCGGTCAGTCGGCGCAGCTGCGGCGACGTTGAGCCCGGCCCCGTTCAGCACCGACACGTAGTCACCCGGGCCGAGGTCAACCCAGGCGAACCGCACCTGAAGACGACCGGCCGTGTCACGCGCTGCAGGCGCTCTGAGAACCTGCCGTTGTACGTCACGGCAACCGCAGTCCGCAGTCCAACGGCTTAGGGTGATGAGGTGGTAAGGGGGGGGGGGGGGGGCGAGGGCGATGAGCCGTCTAGAGGAGGCGAGCTACGGCCCGACCGGTGCAGCGTCCTCAAACGGACCGTGGCACAGGGAACGCCATCTTAGGCTTTCGATGCATAGTTCAGACGACCGAATTGTTTTCAGGGCACATCACGTGCGCTTTTAGGGCCTGCTGTCCCGTGGTCACATAACTCCGGATGGGGCACTAAATCGACTGGGCTACGACCAGTCAGATTAAAATGAGACCAAGAACATAAATATAGCCGATGTCAGGGCACCGGGCCTGCAGCTTGCTCCGGCTACAGGAGGTATGGCCGTCCAACCGCCAACCGGCCGCGTTTCCCATCCACATGCTTACTAAGGGTAACCAATCATTGAAGCTTGCGTCCGTCCGAGGTCGAGTCGATGCCAGCTCAGTATTCAGTAGCACGAGTCGATGACGAATCAGTATTCAGAGTCACGGCTTATTGGATCGGGTTTACGCTGCAGCGTTAGGTGATCTAGCCGGCCAATGGACTGACAGAAGAAGCGGCGCCGGAATTTGTTCATGACTGTCGTAGCAGGACCGTTGGGCGTAAGCCGGAATGTCCTGTAACATTCAAAAAGACCAGAATATCGAGTTGTGCAATTGGGAATGGTTCGGCTGATCGCTGATCTTCCTGACTCCCAAGTATGGACGCGTTAATTTATGCTCCATGTTGAGCCAGTTGGCAACGCCATGGTCAACGTAAAAACACCACGAAAACGTGTCTCATTCTTGGAGCACTGCACTAACACCAACACCACAAGTATACAGCAAAACGCGCTGGGCATTGACAAATTCAACGATACGAGATGTCAATCAGCATTATAAGCCATCAGAAATAAAAAACACAAATTATTTGCTGCGACGGAACCCTCACTTGAAAATCAAAATGCCGGTCTAACCCTGCTGGTTCTAATGAACGCGTTCGATCCCACTTTACTAATTCGCGGGTCGGAAGGGTTAGCCTTTGGACTCAAGCACGGAGTGATGCCTGGTAACAAGACGGCATCACCGGCGCGGGAGCAGCACACCACCAAGCTCCTTTCTAATCATGCCATCGGAGTAAAGTGATTATAAGTGTCATGCTGCGCAGCTCACCACCTGCAGCGCATCTGCGGACTTACCCGAGCCGTCTGCTGGTGCTCGAACTCGACCAGCCAGGCGCAGTCCATGCCGTTGGGGTAGTCAGACGGATAGCCGGGCGAGTAGATGCGCTGCCCCGGTCCGCTGACCAGGCCTCCGCACGGCTTCACGGCATACGTCAGGCTGAAGAATGATGTCCAGGGCTCTCCTGGGGACTGCGTCACGGACCAATGTCGGACGTCAATCATCATCATCCAGTCATGTCCCAGCTCAGGGCTCTCCTGGGGATTGCGTCACGGACCATCGTCGGACGTCAATCATCATCATCCAGTCATGTCCCAGCTCCAGGGCTCTCCGAGGACTGCGTCACGAACCACCGTCGGAGGTCAGTCATCATCATCCAGTCATGTCCCAACCCCAGGGGTCTCTCGGGGACTGCGTCACGAACCACTGTCGGAGGTCAATCACCATCATCCAGTCATGTCCCAGCTCCAGGACTCCCCTGACGACCACGTCACGGACCATCGCTGGGCTCTAATCATCATCCCGTCTTGTCCCAGCTCTAGGACTCTCCTGAGGACCGCGTACGGACCATCGCTGGACTCCAATCATCATCATCCCGTCATGTCCCAGCTCCCCGCATGTGTTGCATATCCGGGATATTTGGGGATGAGGCTTGGCCTGAGATGCAGAATAATGCGATGCAATATGGTAAGGTGAGTAACTGCTAAAACCGGGCGACAGTATTGGAACATTTATCGACTGTAAGACAAACGGCTTGTCGAAAGCAAATAGCAAGCATATTCTAGCGGTATAGACATCGCCTCGGGTGCTTCGCCACAGGTCAGGGACTGAATTGGGCCCTCAAACCATTTAAGATGGCTCATCAACGCCCATGTGCATAACGTTACATTTCCTAAAATTACCGGGGATTTTGACCCCATCCGCTATCCCCAAGGCGAAGCCAATGTATCAAGGTTACTGGCAACCAACACTACTCAGGTACTTTCGTGGCTCCGCTGCGTCTGCCGACGGTGACAACCTCATGTTGGTGGTCGCGGGTCTAGCGCGGCTCACACCGTGCGATGAGAAACACGCCGCAACCCACCAAAGCCTCAACTCTAGTTTGGTTGGCTGGGCGTTGGACACTGACGAATGGGTGGCAGGTACACAGGTTTGCATCCACGAAACCGTGGTTATGTGACTTATTTCTGACCGCTTTTAAGCAAGTGGTTAGGAATTCATGTTATCCTAGTCGCGGTGTGTCACGGTTTAGCGAGACGCCCTTGAAACATTTTGGTGGAAACTTTGCGCTGGACTGAATCTGGTTTTTGCGGGTGGCGGGTTCCTGGTCCCATTAATAATCTGTCTTCAGAAAGAACTTTGCTTTCTTTCCACCCAAACAGTCGGTCACATTTGAACGTAAAGATAAAAACGAGACCAACCATGGGAGACAGCGGCTGGATTTAGACCGTGGGTAGCTCCAAAAATTGAGATGAGCGTATTTATGGACAACTCCAGCAGCGCTCCACATTTTAAGTACATATTTTCCTAACACCAGGAAATTCGTGCTCGTGCCAACGCTACATACTATTAATACACTGCCTTGCCACTCGATCGGCACCGTCCAAGCTCTTTACCGGGTAATTTCAAATCTAGCCCGATTTCAGTGTATATTATGACCAAGTAGCATCGCAGCATAAGCTCTTCAGACATGGCTTCCCCCTTATGCGCTTGCTGCGAAAGACGCTGTGTGTGCAAATTTATCTTGGGACGCCCTGTCTATAGCAATAGTGGAGGGCGTCTGGATTTGTCCAAAATTGATGCATGACGGAAGCACCCCTGTTTCAGACTTTAAAAGTCGCACGCTAAATGGTTGGGGAACACTATGGCATGTCATACATCAAACACATATCCGACCTGAGTTGTGTAGCTTTCCAACTCTGGATGTGCCCTGCACCGATGATACACACGAGATATCCTGCGTCGCTCTATATAAAAGTTTAGCACTCTCTGCGCGCAGTGCCGACGTGCTCGCTAGCACTGACGTGCTGTGCTGGGACTCTGTCACAATGATGTGCTCTGCTGGGACTCTGTCATAATGAGCACACGCTCACGTGCTTGTGCTGAGATTCTGCACAATGAGCACACGCTGATATGCTCTGATGGGACCCTGTCACAATGATGTGCTGTGCTGGGACTCTGTCATGAGTACACGCTCACGTGCTGTGCTGAGATTCTGCACAATGAGTACACGCTGATATGCTCTGATGGTACTCTGTCACAATGATGTGCTGTGCTGGGACTCTGTCATGAGTACACGCTCACGTGCTGTGCTGGGACTCTGCACAATGAGCGCACGCCGATATTCTCTGATGGTACTCTGTCACCATGAGTACACGCTGACAAGCTCTGTTGGGACTCTGTCACAATGAGCACATGCTGATCGTGCGCTGCTGAGACGCTATCACAGTGATGTGCTCCGCTGGGACTCTGTCACGGTGGGAACACACTGATATGCTCCGCTGGGACTCAATCACAATGATGTGCTCAGCTGGAACTCTGTCACGAGTACACGCTGATGTGCTCTGTTGGGACTTTGCCACCATGAGTACAAACTGATGTGTCCTGCTGAGACTCCATCACGGTGATGTGCTCTGCTGGGACTCTGTCACGGTGAGAACATACTGATATGCTCCGCTGGGACTCAATTACAGTAATGTGCTCAGCTGGAACTCTGTCGCGAGTGCATGCTGATGTGCTCTGGTGGATGTCTGTCTCAATGATAACTCAATGATGTGCTCTGCTGGGACTCTGTCACAGTGAGTATATACACTGATGTGCGCTGATAGGGTCTTCAACTTCTGCAATGGTTCCTTCTTTCGCGTCAGTCATAGTTTGGACCAGGGTCTGGGGAATGTGGGCACGATTCGCATCAGCGGACCAGCAGAGCACGCTTTCCGCGAAGGGTTTTGTGCATCTTTCTCGTGTCCCCACGTCGTTATCAGAAGGTGCTCCACCTTGTTCAAACCACAACTCGTTTTCCATTATAACCGGTTCGGTCTGAACCAGCAGTTCACCCAGCTCACTTGGTGAAAACCGAGTCCTGCAAATCAAATTATAGTCAAACAAATCATTCTGTCGTGGTCAAATTCGAAAGAGGAAAATAGAGCCTCGGTTCTTGACTTTGCGCCACCACACGTGTAGCGCCGTCGCTACTCGTAAAACAAGCTGAGCCTCGCGAAGGGATGAACGCCAGCTACTCGTAAAACAAGCTGAGCCTCGCGAAGGATGAACGCCAGCCGGCTTACCGCATATGTCAGCTGAAAATCTGTGAACGGGATGTGGAGCGGTGGAGGAACTGTTGTGTTTCCACAGACGACTTCGGTAGTCTCACCCAGCTCATCTGCGAAGCGCGCGTCAGTTGGTGTCGGTGCACAGGAGTACGAGACCACAGCAAGCTGAATCACGCCAGGTCTAAGAGCACGCTGCATGCGATAGTTTTATCAAAAGTCGCTCACGCTGTAAAACATCGTATGTGTTTCGCTGGCGTTCAGTCTCATTTGCATGTTTTGCGTGTTCTGTGTTGATCTATGTAATATGTACTGACGCGGCGTTAGAAAAGCTACTCGCTGGCTTTCGCCAAGGTTCGCAATAATAATAAGAATAATTGTTATCATACTAATAATAATGGCAGTGATAATAATACTAATGATAGCAATAATAATGATAATAATTTTAATGATGATAATAATAATAATGGTGATAATAACAATAATAATAATAACAATAGCAAGCCGAAAGCCATTCAAAGAGGCTTGACTGAAACAGGTATAACCAAAAGCAATGTGGCAGCTGGGTAAACTTGACAAGCGCTGCTCGAAGAATGGGGAGCGCTATGATAGACTGTGACAGCAGGAGATGTCACACCTACACGACTGACACTATCGTTTTCAAGGCTCCGTTTTCTATACCTGGCTTCACGCGGAGACTCAGATGCAAACATTCGCCAAAGTCGGGCAGCGAGAAGGCGTTGAAGGTGACGAGCGTGCTGGCGTTGGCCACGCTGGGCAGGGTCAGCTGCCAGCGACACTCTGCAGGGCTTCCGAACGGCCAGCGGGTACTGGGGCGACGCCAGGGAGCCGGGCGCGCTGGTTATCGCTCCGCCGCACACTGGGGGGGCCACACACTGTCAGCAGCGGTAACCGTGTGATTCGGCTGCAGTCAGGTGCGCTGGTTATCTCTCCGCCGTAGGATGGCAAGTTTGAAACAGACGCCTCAGGCTGCAAATTTACCGGTCGCTTCTCAGTGAACACGGATATACACAACGGAGAGGGGCTGCGATTTATATGGTGTGGATTGAGAGGTTTGCCTGTGGTATACCAATACTGGGCACCCATTTCATATTAGACAGCATGCACACAGACATACCGAATATTTCCCGGGACCGTAGTGCGTTATCTGTGTCAAATAGCATTTGCTGAAAACGGGTACAGACACTGGCTGATTCTCTCATATGTATGTATCTGGCTGGTTGCCTTATATGTATGCATCACCATGGCCGGGTTAAAGGGAGCGGGGTGCATCTCTCCCAACAGCAAAACGAGCCGTCTGGAAAAGGCGTCTTACGCCAACCGGCTTGAGCTATTGGACGCACCCGGCGGACTGCAGCCGGCCTGCGAGTGTCCCAGCGTACTGTATCTGTGACACTCACAGGCCGGCTGGCGCACCCGGCGGACTGCAGCCGGCCTGCGAGTGTCTCAGCGTACTGCATCTGTGACACTCACAGGCCGGCTGGCGCATCCGCGAGCTGCAGCTGCGATACTCACAGGCCGGCTCGTTCGACGAGTAGCGCATCCGAAACCCTCTCGCCGAGGTGCTGCCGACGCGCGAAGAGAAGATGATGGTCATCTGATTGCCGGTGGAGTTGATCACAGGAGGTGCGTCCGGCGCACAGTAGAAGTAGGCGCTCTCCGTGAAGTTCAGATGGGAGACGAGGCGCCTATTCCATCCAACACCTGCAGGCACAGGTGACAGCGACGGCGTAACGCTTCGCCGGGGTATGTGTACCGATTTTGCGTGTAAAATGCAATAGTGATTGCAGATATACTCGCGTCCATACGCCATCTTTTCTGTTTACCTTTCATCGGCCTTACCCTTACTGGCGGTTATACAAGGTTTCCCGTGAACTGCTTCGACGAAGTGTTGTCTACTGTGATCACAGTTGACGCCGGAGCATCAGACGAACCTCTAAATTACCTCTCCAGTTACACGCCTTGCATTCATCCTCTTTTTGGGGCCAGTACTTGACTATCTAGAATCGCATGCGGCTGGCCCGACAGCGCCAGGTCAGTCGAGGTCAGACCCATGTCCCGCCTGGTGGCGGCGCGTCATACGAACCGTCAGCCAAGAGCGGCAGCCGCGCGCGCTGCGCGCCGCCGGCGGCAGCTGCCAGTCCGCGGTCTCCAGGCGAATGCGGCGCCCCTCGGGCACCTGCAGCCGCCAGATGCAGCGGCGCCGGCGCGGCACGCCGTGAGGGTAGCCTGGGCTGCTGAGCTCGCCGGCCGAGTCGTACCGCCAGCCACCGCAACCTGCGGCCGGCCGCTGCGTCACACGCCGGTCACACGCGCTGACCACGGCACGCGGTGACGACAACAAACGCTGACGGCGCACGCGCTGATGGCAGCACGCGCTGACGGCAGCACGAGCTGACGGCGGCACGTGCTGACGGCGGCACGAGCTGAGGGCGGCACGCGCTGATGGCAGCACGCGCTGACGGCAGCACGAGCTGATGGCGGCACGCGCTGATGTCAGCACGAGCTGACGGCGACACGCGCTGATGGCGCCACGTACTGATGACAGCACGCGCTAAAGACAGATAAAGATGATGGTTACTTACTGACTGCGGTATCCGGCCACAGACAGATCTCGCTAACTCGCTTGACGTGCACTGGCGGCAAGACTCGCTCATGAGGTCACGCACCGGTGTCAGCGTTTACGAACGCCGTCACTTACTGACACACTACCACTCACTGGTAGCAATACCTACCGAAGCCAACACAACTTCAAGGTAGCCAATATCACACGCATCCGTGAGTCAGCGCCGCAATCGCCGAGGCACCTGCGTAGAACATTAGCCTCGTGTGTGACGCTCCCAGCGCTGTAAGCAGTCCCCCGTGGCAATGACCGCAGTCAAAGAACTGCCACCACCTCTGCTGCTGACGTGTGCCCACCTTCCATGCTGGCCCGGAACCTCATAAGAAAGCCCGCGTTGTCCGTTTGGTGAGCGTCCGTTACAAACGTCACGTAGACGGAATTGGCCGAGGTCGCCACGCCGGTACCACGTTCGCTACCGCAGAATCGACCCAGCACCTCGCCTGGAGTAGTGCAGGATCAGGTATACCGTCAGTGATATCAGCAGCGGCAGCGGATGCAAGCATTTACCTCAAAAACGCTTCAAACGTTTCATGGATATTTTCACTCAAATAGTGCAAACTAATATCACCCGGTGCTGAAGGTGCGGCGAAGGAATGGACATCGGAGATTTTGACCAGCTTTTTTCTTTAGACTTAGAAACTGTTTTTTGGGATCTTCATTTACAGGTTACCCACTGCTGACAGTCTTCAGGAGGTATGGCCTTGCCTGTGCTGTTGAAGTCGCGCATCTCGACGTAGTCCCTGGTGCAGTTGGGACTGCTCTCAAGGTCCAGTGTTCGGAACCACAGACGCATATAGTGGCCCGAGGGTCCCATGATGTGGTAGCTGCAGTTCCTGTTTGTGGTGTATGCATTTCTTGATATTGTCAACGAGCCCCTTCTGCCGTAGTAGGTACCACCACAGGTTGCTGGAGAAAGACGCAATGTTTGTAAAGGCTGAAATAATCAGATTAGTTGTTTTACGTTCTCCATGATATCTATTAGGCAAACATTAAGCCAGAAAAAACTTATGTTTCAAGTGATAAGCAAACATCAACTAAAAAGAAGAACAACCATCTATCACTGTCACTATCACATATCACTTGCAGCCCGGGTATCACTTATTTTCATTGACTGCTGTTAGATGATATGCGCTCTTATAGAAGGCAACAGCTGCGCAGGACGTCCGGCCAAGTCTCGCCTTCCTCCCCCAACACGCTAACTCAAGACGCTGCGCCACCCTTCAGCATACCACTTGCAGTGACGCACGGCGGCGTATCTGACATTGCGCATATCATTTGCAGTGACGCACGCCGGCGTATCTGACATTGAGCACATCATTTGCGGTGACGCACGCCGGCGTATGTGACATTGAGCGTGTCGCGACGCCCAGGCACTCACCGATGGACACACGCGCCTTGAAGCCCATGCGCGGCTCGGTGGCGTTGGTGTAGTAGTTGATGAAGGCGGCGTTGCCGGAGGTGGTCTTGGTGGGCGGTCGCCTGTCCGAGCAGTGCCGGCGGCCCAGGCTAGGCGCCAGCTCGGTGCCGCCGTCCAGCACCTCCACGTACGCCTGTCGGCACCTGGCAATGATGGCCGATGTCCGTCAAACAGCCGAGAAGGGCCTCCGCTGTCGCCGACACGGTATTCAATCATCCAGGGCGCCTGACAGCATGCCTCTCTGAGCACGGCCTCTCAGACCGACAGGGAGCTGCTGACGGTTAAGAATGTCCGGCGTTTCCCGTTTTCTAGTTGCCTGGAAGCGGTAACACGCTAGAAGGCGACAAACTGCCATCTCGTTAGCAGCCGCATTCGGCACCTTGTAACAGGATTGAGCAATCCAGGACCGTCGTCAGATCATCAGCGTGGGCCACCGTCCACCGCTCCCGTCGGGACGAAGTGATGTCGAAAGTCTCCATGAATCGACCCTTGAAAGCGGTGGGTAGCCGGCGAAGACGACCGTCCACCTGGCAGGCGGAGAAGGCCGGCGGGACGTTGGGATAGTTGGGGCGTGTTGATGACCAGCTGCGGCTCGGCGCGGGTTCAGCCGCAGCTGGCCGCCGCAGCCGGCCCGCCGATGCGCGGTACCAAGTCGGAAGCTGCCGGTGCTGCTGGGCCGGTCAGCACCAGCTTCACGTGCAGCCGGCTGGCTGGAGCTTTCGGGCAGCTCCGGCACCGCGCCGCCGCAGAAGCGGCCGCTGCCCAGGTTAAGGTGAGTCCAGCTCCGCGCCGTTGCGAATCTGGCGGCAGGAGGGCGAACGGGTCGGGCTCTGCGGAATGCCAGCAGTCTGACGCGGCGAACGGGTTGGGCTCCGCACAGGGCGGGGCAGTCTGACGCGGCACAAGTGTCGGGCTTCGCAGAAGGCGGGGCAGACTGAAGTGGCAGGGATCAATTGTAGACGAGATCATTCGACGTGTTTGTTTTCAGCCGGAGAAGAGGAAACACAAACAAAGTCGGATCTCGAATACTGCGTGGAAGAACGAGAGCTAAGCGTGGTTCTTAAGTGTTGTATCGCTCACTTGCAATCTCAACTATATGGAATGTTTTAGGAAGTTTTCCAAATATGTCAGCAGAAAGAGCGGAACACCACCGAGCATCGTTACAGCTCCCATTGGTGTAAAACTGCAGAGGGCACTGCTGAGATCGGCGTGCAGCCGCTCGCCTCACCACAACGTATCCGTTGGGACATGACGAGTCTCCGGGGATGTCGAGGTCGGTGATCTCGGCCAGGATGGTGCGGCCGGGTCTCACGAGCAGCGTCCACTCGCAGGTCAGCCTGCCCTCGTGTCGTGCCGGGAAGCCGGGGCTGCTCACCACCCCATTCGGGTCGGTCAGGAAGCCGCCGCACACTGACGGTCGGACCCGGGCGAACCGTTACACCTCGCGTATATGAAGGACTTCCGCGAAACTCCAGGTTGGCAGAGCACAGGTGGAGGCAGGGCGTGGAGGAGCCTTTGCGGAGAAGTGCTGTGTGGCGCCTGCAGCAGCAAACCTCACCCGTATCGACGGTAACGTTGAAGCCGGCCTGCGTGTGACGCCGGTAGAAGGGCATCGCGGCGAACTCGAGCTTCAGCAGGCTCCCGCTAGCCGCCAGGGTCGTGCCGCCTTCAGAGCGGCGGCAGAGTGTTGCCAGCGGGACCCAGTTAGCGGTCCCCTGGTGACCTAAAGCGCGACGCAACACCAGCGTCAGCTGTCGGGGCGGCAGGTTTCCAGGAGACCCGAAGCGCATTCAGTTAAGGCGTCAACCTAATCTACCAGCCATAAAATTGATACCAGCATTCTAGCTGCACCCGTGGCAGGTTTCAATAGGCCAATGCCTTTGACACGATGTAGGACAGCAAATGACGGCAGAAAAGCGCTTCCACAATCATCTAGCGTCGCTACCGTCGAGTGGTTAGCGCACCCAGCACCCAGTGTCAGTTCCCACCGTCGTAGACGGTGATGTTGTCCGAGGTGCACTGGAAGTAGTTGAAGAGGTCGACGGTGTTGACGCGCAGCTGAAACCCTGTGCGGATCCGAGCTGATGGTCCAGCTGCAGAACTGGTTGCCCATGTAGCCGCCGGGAAGTTGGGCGAGGTGATGTCGGTACGGTTTGCCCTCGGCCAGGTACAGCGTGTACGCACAGAGTCGGGCCCCTGTCGAAGCGCACCACCCGGCAGCCTGTGAGGCGATCGTCCAACACGGCGGCTCGCAGCACAGGCAGCGTGTGTCAGGCAGGATGCTGGCGGATGGTCAGTGGGAGTACTCTTCAACACCTCACTTTGGTCCGAATTTCGGGCCGCGGGGAGCCCGCCAGGCTACCGCCAGTAAGTCTCACACTCGGCCGACGTAGCAAAGGAGATCGCTGGTGCGCGGCTAGGACGCAGCGAAGCCGGCACGACGGATCCGCAAATTTCTGGGTCTCGGAGCCGGCTGAGGATAAGGCGGGGTTGACTGCTCAACTTGCGAACAGATGTTCTACACTGAGCCTTTTACGCTTCCCGGGCTAAGGTCATAAGACAGGATGCTGCATCACATTTCGGAGCAGCCGGATCACGTCTATAATGATATGCTACGTTACATGCCACCATGTGCGCTGTACGTGCAACTCGCGATTTCGAACCCGTTCCGGGAAGAACGCGAGTTTCCGGGTACCCGAAGCAGTGGTCATCTCCGTTTCAAAGTCTGGTAAGTTCGGCATAGACCCGCTTGACTGACGCCCCAGTTTGCTCACATTGTAACTCTGTAAGTTAGGAAAGACAAACGCCACAACATCTTTGCAGAACATCTTTGCATCTTTTACAGCATCTTTTCGGTGGTTTTCGGAGATATCGTAACACTGTCGATCACATGTTTCCAATCGGCACCGTAATAGGTGCTGCTTTCAAGAGAAATACAGCACGTGAGGGCGGTGTTGTTGACAGCCTACATGTACAGGATGTCAAACGGAAAAAAAACACAAGCAAAAGCGGGTAATTTCTGGTCGGCCCGGACCCAACCGACACTGACCGGACTGCGCAACGTCTCCGGGCGGAGGCCGCTGGCTCAGCTGCTGCCAGCGCAGCTTGAAGCGCGAGCCCGAGTAGCGCGGTCGGTTGACGAAGTGGACCAGCACCTCGTTGGAGGAGGAGACGAGTGGCTCGGGTAGGTCCATGCCGCAGACGGGCTCGCCCAGGGGCGGCGCCGACCGGTCCGGCCCGTCATACACCTGACCGGCAGGCATGGGTGTCAGGGGTCGCCAGTGGTTACAAAGGTCGCACACGGGTCACAGCGGTCACGCCCTGGGCACAGAGGTCACACACAGGTCACAGGAGTAACGCACGGGTCACAGAGGCTACACAAGGTCGCAGGGTCTGTGTGTGGGTCGCGGAGAGGTTGGCTTACAGGGATGACAAGGATCCAGGGCTGCACGGGACCATTGGAGAGCGCAGGGCTGCTGCCTCTTGAGAGAGATGTTGTTCAACATGTGTTGACGCTGTGATGGGAGATCTCACAAACATGCTTTGGAATATGCGCACAGCCAATATTTTGTTGATGGGGTGAGGGGATGATGAAGATGGGCGGAGCTCAATCCAGAATTCCTGACGGCGATTTCGAACTTTCTGGTCGTCAAGCGTTATTCATGGCACTAAAAGAAAAAGTGCGGGCCCTAAGGTAGTGAGCGGTCCAATCCCTCGCCACCCACCCCCACCCCCGCGACCGCATCTGTGTGTTTGAGGTGTGACACGACACGTGAATCATTGTCATGATGTGACCAATAATGTGCCAAGCATCCTGTTCTTGTTGGCGTATTGTATGAATATTACTTTGTGCCCACACACTTGTGTTTGTTATGCACACTTGCACAGCGTTCAACTGTAACACAGCGTAGTTGTCCTTTTCAAGCGAAATGCATGCCTTTCCGTGCTTGCAGAGCACCGAACCAATCCCGTTGACACCGGAAATCGCCAGCTGTACATGAGACACTGTCCGCATTACCCGGAAAATGACTATGGTTGGAACGGAACAATCGATGCTCTAAATATAGCAGGCAAGAGCGAAACGGCCCTGGGCGATGAGACTCGACGATTATTGCAGGATTGCACGCGCAACTGTGCGCGTAACCGTGTCGCACTGCCGGCACCTGAATGTAGCTGCTGTGGGCATCCGCCGTCGATGGGGTCCAGGTCCGCCTGCACCATGACATAACCGGATCGGGATATACTGGCTGCTGTTAACTGTGATGCTCCAGGAGAACGGCTCCGCTGCAGGTACTGGGGGGAACAGTGGCGACTCGATCGCCACCGGACGGTCCGACAGGTCCATGCGGCGGGCTGGAACGACACGCCAGGCCGCTGTGTGACCGGCGGCCCGCGACGGCCCCGGCGTCCGCTCGTTCGTCATGGGACGCCGACAGCAGCGGGCAACCGGCAGACGACGCACCGCGCGGTCGAGGAACGACGCACCGACACGTGAGCCTCGCTAACGGGACGTTCATATTGAGCACGCAAAACATACGGCGCAGCAGGCAGGTGATCGTCGCTAGTGATGTATGTTGTAACCGATCGATAATGACTTACGGATAGTGTTTTGAAATAGGTTGTACTACAACACCGTTTATGCCGACAGCCGTTAATACTGATGGACATTCATACCTGAGGCTGGAAACACGGTCCCAGAAATTCATCTAATCAAAGGTTCTGGCTAGCATATTTTAAACATAGATAAAGCGGCGGCAACCAAATCTCAGGCATCCTGCATCTACGCCCGCAACACGGAAGATATTGGACCCTCGCACCTGTGGCGAATTCGGCCAGGAAGCCGGACCCCGTGCCTGCCTCATTCGAATGGAACCGAACCATCATTGAACCGGTTGAGCTGACGTTCGTCGGGGCCTCCGAGCCACAGAAGTGACCCAGCAGACGTCCCGCCGTAGTCCGCTCCCGCACCTGCCGGCGCACACGCGCAGAGTCAGCTGGCGCAGGACTGAGCACGCCGCCGCTCAGCCGAGCGTGCCACGAGTCATGGAGATCCAACAGCGTCGCACTGAATGCTTGAGTATTGCTTTGATTGTGAAGTATTAAAGGGCGCTTTTCATGGTTTGTCTATGGTCCACTGTGTCTGCTAAAATGACAAACGCAAGGCCGGACGGAATTTTGGAACCTTGCTCTTTGCAAATATGCCAAGACGATGAAATTTTAAAATTTATTTGGACTGTTAAATGGAACGAGGCTTAAGGCGAGCAATCGAATGAGTTACGTAAAACCAAAACGATAATAAATACACCAAAATAACCGATGTCGTCCACATAGTTTGTCCTTCGAGAAATAGCTTACGACGGATGAGCGATGTTATTTCAGGTGTTTTCAGCTACTTATGCTGGCTTTTGAAGTGCACATTCAATACAGAGCTCCACTGAAATGGAAGGCGACATATCTGCACGGTGTCCACGCCCGGGGCTGTTGGAAACATTCGTGTCATGTGCTCATGTTTACGCGAACGCAATGTTTATCCGGCCCATTGGCCAGCGATCGCCGTGATGTGGTAACGCTACAGATGCATTTCAGATAACGATCACACGTAACCAAGCACGTTATAGTAAAGTAGCATCGCATAGCATAACAACCCATACCTACGTGTAAGCTGGCAGACCTGAGTTGATAATCACCAGGTATATGTAGCTGTTTACCCACGTTCGCCTTACCTCTAGATATATCGCCGTTGCAAAAGTCTGTCTCAGCGATCTGGAATGTGCGGAAGCTGAGGTGGATGCCGTTGCCCGCAGAGGCGTAGATTTTCCACCAGCATTCGACGTCGTTGGGGTAGCTGTCGGGGTAGCTGGGCGAGGCGAGCAGGCCAGTCTCGGCAGCCAGGCGGCCGCCGCAGCCTGTCCATCAACACCAGCGGGGGGATCGTCAGGCGGGGCACAGGTGTAGCACTCTCTCCTTCCAGTCCCGCACGGTTCGGGGGTCATCTCCTTCCAGTCCCGCACGGTTCGGGGTCATCCTTCCAGTCCCGCACGGTTCGGGGGTCATCTCCTTCCAGTCCCGCACGGTTCGGGGGTCATCGCCCGTGTGGAAGTTTGGGTTTTTTCGCAGCGGACTGCCACAGCGTAAGTGGCCTATCTTTGAATCTTCTGAGATATCTTCTGCATTGCATCCTTTACTTCAAAAAATGTGACGCTTTGGCTCAGACGCATGACTGTGACGCTTTGGCTCAACTGCCATGTGTATACATGAAGCCGTTCGTGGGTGAGCACATGGACTTATAATGGAGCATTCTACTTATATACTTATGTTTGTCATGGGGATTTCCGTCCTAATTCATAAGTATGAAAAGGCGCTTCTCGAGCCTCTCGCTGGACCAGGCTCTACTGGGCTACATGCGGAACGGGTGACAATGAACGTCAATCATGGTATGATCTTGTCACCGGACGCATCGGCAAAGGGTCGAACTACAGACTTTGACCCCTCTAGGCGGTACCAGACCGTCCAATGCGGCATCTCGCCACCCCGCAGAACATGCTGCTAACCCTGCGATGACTGCCGCACGTCGGCCGTACCGGTGGAGACGTTGGAGAAGCCGGCGCTGAAGAGGACTCCGACGCCGGCCGACAACCTGCAGCCGGAGCCCGAAGCGCCGCACCGCGCGAGGTCACCGCCGGCGGCAGCTGTTGTGACCTGCAGGGTAGCGGTGCAGCCAAGGGTCCGTCAGCCGGCCGGTGTGCCCTCCCCCACCTCAGGTAGTGTCGTAGCGAACAGTTGGCAGGAAGGCAGCTGGCTGTGCAGCATCAGCGGTTGTGAACTGCATCCACACGTGGTCGCCTTGTCGCGGGAGCGTGTCAAGTGCCCTGGCGCGCACGCTGCAGACGTCCAGCGCGCTGGGGCTGCATGTTGTATGAACACTGATGTATGGGCGCTGCACGACCGCAGCGGTCGAAGCAGCCCTACAGTCAAACGGATATTTGTCATGTCTCTATGTGCACCGACGCAGTGAGACTACATTTACTTTGCCGGCTATCTTTTCCGTGCGTTAGGATGAAGATTGGGGTTGGAGGCACTTTGTGACCGAGCAAAGATGACTGTACACACCAAGTGATGAAAGCTCCCGAACAGAGGTACACGAGCAAAGTGTACGTGTCCTAACGTGTCCTATCTCACGCTAATCTTCGTGCTATCATCAGTGTTTTCCACCCCGCTTCGCCTGCGAACACCACGAGTCTTGAAGTGCAGCACTCCCAGCGCAGAGATCTGGTACCGGGCAGTGGGCTTGCAGGATCCAGGTGCAGTTCAGGCTGCCCATGTGCGTCATCGGGAAGTTCGGCGACGAAATGTGATCCATGGATGTGACGTTGATGGTGCCGCCGCAACCCTGGCAGTACAACGAGGCCACCGAGCCCGCCAATGTCAGGCGAACCGTACCGTCAACTCCGGGCGACAGACAGACAGCCTGGTTTGCAAAGTTTATAGACTGCATGTAACGAACAGTGCTGCATAGTCCGTTCTTGAATGCAAGCAGCCTAATAGTATTTTCAGTATGCAGAATAACAACACACCTTCGTTATGTCAAACTTTGGAGCTCTGGGCAATGCACCGGCTGCTTCATAACCACTCCACAGGCTACAGGTGTCGCTGCACCATTTTGCTCAGTTTGGTATCAAGCACCAACGATTTATTGAATTTCTGCATCAATCGCCATAATTCATTCTTACCGGTAGAGATTAAAGAGCAGGAAGCAAAGAACAGAAACAATGATAAGGCAACAGGTTCGTCCCATCTTGCGAAAGAAACATTGCTAATAAGCAGGCCTTGTTCGTCTTTCCATTGGACGGCAGACAGCAAGATCTTAGGGTACGCCAATCACCATGGCCGAGGATGGCTTGATCGCTGCGCGCCCCTCACCATGGTGTAGTTAGCGACGAATCCCTTGGCGGCCACGGAGCCATCGGCCTGAGTCGGACGAGCATTCTGCTGCCGGTGGAGGGATATGGTCAAGGTAACGGTGGGCGGCTCGGGCACGCGGTTGCCGCAGTGCTTCAGCAGCAGCGGCGAGAGAGTCGCGACCACCCGTCCCGGACCTGCCGCAGCCGGCGTAGCTCAGGTCAGGTCGGCCCGCAGGCAGAGGGACGGAGGAGCCGTGGGCCTGTGGGACCAAGTTACGAAGCACTCTACCGTCTTCAAGCCGATGCTACAGCGAGAGCAACGGCGATGGCCCGTCAAGTATGCGCACTGCCAATCGGTGAGACAAAAACTCCCATCCTCTTCGGGCTGTACACTTCAGCGTTTTCTCTTTCACAAAACCGCTTTCGGCCAGCGCCCATCCCAACTCACGGCGACGTAGTCGAAGAGCAGTTGGTGTGCGGCTCCACGTCGAAGTCGTCGAACGTGAGCTGCACGGTGTGGTGGCGCTGCACGCTGATTCGCCACGTGCAGTCCGAGTGGCTGTCGTACACCAGCGGGTAGTTGGGGGAGTGAATCGAGCCGCGCACCGCCGTGAACCGCCCGCCACAGCCTGCCGGGAGAGGGGGAGGGGGAGGGGACACACTACATCACGCTCGCGGATAGGTGTCGCACGTCCGGATCAGACCCGAGGCCGGTCATTCGGACGGCGTCGGCAGGCGCGAGTCGTGTCGCACAAAGCCACGCGAGGAACGCGAGCGCAGACGTGGCACGAGAGACAGGCCGTGGAGTGGTATAGCAGGGCGCTGGCGAGCGATCCGTGCGCGGAAGCCATATGGCAAAGTTCATGATCAATTAATCTACACAGCCGGTCCCGGAGGCGACAGCAACCGTTAACAAGTTGACTAAACTAAACAATAAATAAGAGGCTAAAAATATGAAGCGGATTGTTAACAAGAGGCTAAGAGAAGCGCGGCACCGTCATGGCCATAGCACGGCAGTACATGAGATGTCCTTTCAACACAGTAATGTAAAGGGGTGAATGGCCTCCCGTGCACTCTGCGCCATGATGCAGAGTACATCGGGTGGCACTCTCTCAGACAGCGGGGCACACAGTGTTGACGCCGCGGGCTCTTTTGAGGATCTGACCTCCTCTGCGGACCCGGTAGCGGGCGTGGAAGCCGTGGCCGGAGACGGAGCCGTCGCTGTAGAAGCGGACCAGCATGTTGTTGCCCTGCGAGATCACCGTGGACGGGGCGGTCTGGGCGTGGCAGAGGTTGGTGAGCATTGGCGCCGTGTCGTCCGGTCCGCCGAACACCTGGCGAGGATCACACATGTGTGTCACTCAAAGGTCAGGTGATAATATGAAACATCTGGCAATGGTCACACATGTGTGTCACGCAAAGGTGAAGTGATACGATGAAACACCTGGCAATGGTCACACATGTGTGTCACGCAAAGGTGAAGTGATACGATGAAACACCTGGCAATGGTCACACATGTGTGTCACGCAAAGGTGAAGTGATAAGATGAAACACCTGGCAATGATCACACATGCGTGTCACGCAAAGGTAAAGGTGATAAGAATGAAACACCTGGCAATGATCACACATGTGTGTCACGCAAAGGTGAAGTGATAAGATGAAACACCTGGCAATGGTCACACATTTGTGTCACGCAAAGGTGAAGTGATAAGATGAAACACCTGGCAATGATCACACATGTGTGTCACGCAAAGGTGAAGTGATAGATGAAACACCTGGCAATGGTCACACATGTGTGTCACGCACGAGGTAAAGTGAGGGGATGCAGCTGAGTGTTATGATCTATACCAGGCCCGTATGCTTAAAGGTCAGCAAATATTGAGCGGATTACGGGCATGTCACAATTGGTTTGCAGCACTAAGCTAATGCCTCTATTTCTCATATCTAGCATGGATACGAAGCTTTTTTGGTCTCACCGTCCTCCAGTATGCGCCCCTGGGCTGGCAAAGCTCACCCCAGCCCGTCACTACTAACAGCAGCATGCACCCCTGGGCTGGCAAAGTTCGCCACAGCCCGCCACCACCGCCAGCAGCCGGCGCTCGCAGCTGTAGCCGGTGCTTGCCTTCAGAGAGTCGTAAGCGCAGTTGTGCGCCGACTCGATGTCGAAGAAGTCGATGGTCAGCTCGACCCTGTAGCCCGGTCTGGCCCGGATCTGCCAGTCACACTGGGTCCACTTGGGGTAGGGCTGCGGGTAGTTCGGAGACTGGAGGGTGCCCCTGCGCTTGGTCAGCAGGCCGCCGCAGCCTGAGGGGACGGTGGGTGATGACACGGAGG